TGGGTAGTTTGGCCCTTCTTAAGCATCAGTTTTGGTCCAGGTTATGATCTCACAGTTTGTGGGGTTTGAGTCCCCGCATCATCGCAATGCTGACAGCATACTGGGAGACTGCTTGGATTCTCCTGTCTCCCTCTCTCTCCTTACTCTGCCTGCTTACTCCTCCATCTCTCATTCTCTCTCAAAATAAATAAACAAATGTAAAGATGTTTCCTCTTCTCTGAATTCCCCCATGACCTTTTGTTCTATTATTGTATTTTATGCAGCCTCTCTGTTTTTATCTTTGTTTGTATTATTAGATTCTCTTCTCCGAGAGTGTATTTCCTTATGACAGTAAATCTTTTTCTTTGTATATCCTAAAAATTACTTTGTAAGCTCCATGCATAATAACACTTATAAAAAATGTTGTCCATCTCTTCTGTGTTAAAAAGAAAGCATTTTTGTTTATATATGATAGACAACAAACAAATGAAATAACTTTTAAAATTGTTTTTTGGATGAATTAATGCATTTTCTGTATTAGATGTAGATTCTAATTTCATACTTTCTCTATCTGTATTCCATATATAATCTTGCTAGTCTACTAATATCATTCTTGACAAGATAGTTATCAGTATATGTATTTATAATTATGTATGTTAGGAATTAAATATTCTATATACAGAAAATACTGTCCAGATAATGTTTTATACCAGTAAATATTTGCAAGGGTTTAGTTATTATATGTGGCAGTTGGAGGAATAGTGGAATATATTGTAAAGGGATATGAGTGTGTGTAATTCTATATATACAGGCACATACCCCCCACACACATAATTCTTCTTTATTTGGGGGCAACAGGTTAAAAGAAAGAGCTGTATTTCAAAAAAGAATACTCACCCAAGATCATTATTCATACCAAATATTAAAAATGTTTTAACATATCCAGTAATATGTTCTAGAAGAAGAAAGAGATTAGATCCTAGTCTTCTATCTGATGGGTAATTTCCTTTAACAAATGCCAGACTAATGGACAGTACACAGGGAAAAGCTAAGGTACAGTTGGGATTTTGGTGCACTAAAGATTTCAGAAGGCACTTTTTTTTTTTTTAATTTTTTTTTTCAACATTTATTTATTTTGGGGCCAGAGAGAGAGGGTAAGAGCATGAGCAGGGAGGGGCAGAGAGAGAGAGAGCTGGGAATCGGAAACAGGCTCCGGGCTCACACAGACTGTATCAGCCAGAGGCAGGAGACTCGAAGAACTCCTCGGACCCTTGGTCATTATTGAAGTCGGACGCCGCCCGACACGCCACCCAAAGGCGCTTGAGAAGACACTGCACTTTTTAAAAGTGGAGAAGGCAAGTCAATTTGAAATGTTAACATAATTTGACAAATAAATGTAAACAAACATAAACGCTAAAAGCAGATAAGATTATTGTTCTAACCTTCATGGTTTGTTCTCTCTTTGTGGAAAAGAAGTAAAAAATTGTTATCTTTTAACAGTAACTGTGGTTACCTTTTTGTGCACCAATGTTAGTAGTAACAATGTTAAGGCTTGGGAACTTGATGGTGAAATACATCTACTTTGGTTGTGCAGCAGGGAAGAACTTGATAAACGCAGTAAATACTCTACCTCTTTCATGAAACATCATTCATCTTACTTTTGAGGACTGCGTGTGATCCGCGGTTTTCAAGTTCCCAGCTGCATGTAAGCAAGCGACATGAATCTAGCCCAGAGAGGTGACTGAGTAAATCCTGACACAAGAGGTTGAAAAAATGAAAATTAGTTAGTTGCTGGAGCTATATTTAATGGGGTCAGTAATACCTTGCAGGGTTGCATTTCTTTCCTACTAAGAAAGTAGTGAAACTCCTGGGTAAAATCAGTGGATTAAATATATACATCTTCTTTTACTTCCTTCTGAAATCCCACTAAAATGACACTAACTGGATCTTTTTTTAGAATTCATGTATTGTATCCACAGGGAGGCAGAAGGGAAAAGAGACAACAGCAACAAATTTTGAAGGCAAATGGATGTGTGAAAATAGTTGTCAAAACTAAGAAAGCTGAGGGGCGCCTGAGTGGCTCAGTCGGTTAAGCAGCCGACTTCGGCTCAGGTCATGATCTAGCGGTCTGTAGGTTCGAGGCCCGGCGTTGAGCTCTGTGCTTGTGTCAGAGCCTAGACTGTTTCAGGTCTGTGACTCCCTCTCTCTGACCCTCCCGTTCATGCTCTGTCTCTCTCTGTCTCAAAAAATAAATAAATTAATAATT